GCCCACATGGGAGATCTAAATGGCACTTCAAATGTTTTCATTAATTATCAAAATTCGACTGTGTTCCTCTCCACGGTGGTAGGCCAGCAACATCAAACGAACTGCAGCATGTTGATGCATAGACGATTTCAGGTCCCCGTCCTGTTCCAGTCTTTTGTGCTAGAGATATTTATTGTTTATATCTCTAAAATTTCTACAACACTAGTTACCTGGCATTTTCACAAATGAGAGATTCAAGTTCTAATTGATTTTCTCGACGGTCAAAGTATACATATGACAAATTCTGGATTTAAGACTTCTTATACATGATGAGCGACCTGTACGACTTTGCCAATATTTCGTGTATTATGAGCAACACACTGTACATCTCGGATTCGTGCACCTCTCATTAAAAGCGAATACGGAAAGGAGGGGCAGGCAGGGGGAAGGGGGTTGACTTTTTTAAAGTTTGACAGTATAAACCTCAGTTTTCTCACCGGTATATTACAGTATCAGATAGCGCTCGAATCGAACGAACGAATCGTAGGAGTACTTTTTGAAAGTGTAGAATGGCGCAATTTGTCACTCGCTTCCTATCTATTCATATTTTTTGGAAAAATTTCGAAACCCCAAAAATTTACTGAAAAAAAAGTTTAAAAAAAAAACAAAAGTTTGCAGGCTTTCCTTTTTTTTTACTGTGGTACTTTCCATTAAATGGCCCATATGTTCATGTACAACATGCGGTAAAAAAAATTAATGTACATTTTTGTGAGCAGATATTCTGGAGACTGATGCGAAATGAAGTAATAAATTTCTAATGAGCGAAATAAAGATGCGTGTGTGTATGTGTGTGTTTGTGTTGTCCATCTGTATGTGTGTTTGTGTGTACTTCTGTGTCTGTGCGTAGGTGTGAATGTGTGTAGGATGTATGTAGGTATGTGTGTGTGGGATCTAAGTTTTTGTTCGTATGTGTGGTGTGTTTTGTTCGTGTGTGTGTGTGCCTGTCTGTCTGTCTTTTCAGCATTTTGTTCAGAAAATTGTGATTGCTGAAGTACATTTCGATTTGAAAATTGTTTTTGGATGTTGATGTATTTTTATTCGTAGTGTTCGACTGACGAAAGTTCTTTGAAAGCACATAGAACCAACATGTTTGAATGCTTTTTCGGTGTATTTTCCCGGGAAATAATTTTTTAATCTTTGAAAAACCACATAAATTTTGAAATGAAATACATATGAAGCGAAAAAACATTTAAATCGAAAAAATGAATATTAAATAAATTTTTTCGAGATTCTTATTCAGTTGTTCGAAATCTTACTTTTTTTTTAATTTTTTAAATAGCATTCGATGTTGAGAGATT